GACGTCGAAGGCGGGCGCGGACACTGCTGTTGACGTTGCGGCTCCCTGAGAATCAGTGAGGGCGAAGGCATTGCTCGCTTTCACAAATTCGCTTAGATGTGCTACCGTCGTGCCCCTATTTAAGTGCCTATATTCGTTGCTGAAGTTCGTCACCATTACCTTGGCTTCGCCGTTATGAAGCTTGGCTATGCCTCTTGCGACGCACATCTGACGGTTTAGGAGCAGGTGCTGGTCGCCTTCGATGACACCTTGTAAGTTGGTAGACGCTTTGGTGCCGACGGAAATGATGACGCTCGACAGTGGCGGGATGGTTACCTGCTCTTCTGTCACATTCAAGGCATTGTGAGCGACGTTGCAGTCTGACGCCGTTGCATTATCCGTGGACAGCGTGATTGACCTGGATCTTAGGTCGATTACTGCGCCTTGCTGGTCCAGGAAATCCATGCCTAAAATGACGTCTCGCGAGCATTGCTGCAGGACCACAAAATTCACAGAATACGTCTGGCTGTGAATCGTGACTCTTGCCGTGCAGGTTCCAGTCGGTGTTATAAGGTGGCCCCCTGCTGTTCGGATATCCGGTCCTTCCCATGCAGTCTTTACCTTCTTGAGCTTAGCGGCGAAGAGATCACTGATGATAGAGTAGTCGGCGCCGGTATCGACTAGGGCGGTGACGCTGTGGCCGTCGATGATCACGTCGAGGTCGGTGGTTCGTCGTCTGGCGTTCCGGTTAGGTCGGGGCGTCGGATCACGGCTGCGTCGGCTTGGTCCGGTGCTGCTATGTCGCGTCGGCGGCGAGGCTTTGTCGTAAAGACTCTGCTCAGGCGGCGTACTGCGACTACGTCGGGAAAGTTCGTGCGTCGTGGTCGTCGTCATCGGCAGCGGCGGCGGCGGCGGAGGAGGATCTTCGGCATTGCGTCGTGCAGCAACCGCACCTCCATCGGTTGCTGCCTTTAGTTTCCCGGGTAGGGGCTTGGGGATCGGCCCCGGTTAGGGCCGGTGTACTGGCGGCGATCCGGGGAGACGTAGCGGCCAGGCGAAGGTGAACGGGATGGTCGTCGTTGTTGCCACTGCGATCCGGCGATGTAGTCGGCGATGTCGCAAGGTCGCTCACCTGGGCGCGGACGCGGCGCGTTCACGTCGAAGCCACGCAGTCCCATCTCACGGTACTGGCAGTAGCGGTAGGTGTGCCCGGCTTCGCCGCAGTGGTAGCATAGTGGGCGGTGGTTCGGGGTGCGCCAAACGTCAGTTTTCCTCGGCGAGCGCTGGATTACTGGCGAGCGGGAAGGCGTCGGGGGTGGCGGCGGTGGCTGGCGACGAAACTGCGGAGACGTTGGGTCCTGGTGTTGGCGAGGAGCGGCGACAGGTCGTCGTGCAGTAGCGGCGTAGGTCATCGCCTCCGGTTGGGGCTGTGGCCGTTCAGGAACGCTCAGTGAGCGCTGTAGTTCCTCGCGGACTACGTCTTCGAGAGAGGCGACTTGGGGCTGAGACGATGGCAACATGCGGCGCAGTTCTTCACGAACAATAGCGCGTATGGTCTCGCGCAGGTCGTCGGGGCAGAGTCCTCGGACTTCTGCGACGTCTGGCGACATGCGCCGATCGTATTGGCTGGTCCGCATTTCAAGAGTCTTCTCGATGGTGGTAGCCTCGGAGAGGAACTCTTGTACCGTCTTTGGCGGGGTTCTGATCAGTCCGGCGAAGCGCTCCTGCTTCACTCCTCGCATAAGCAGGCGAACCTTCTTGTCCTCAGACATGTCGGCGTCGGCGTGGCGGAAAAGTCGCGTCATCTCCTCCGTGAAGATCGTTACGTTTTCGTTGGGGAGCTGCACCCGAGTTTCAAGCAGTGATGCGGCTCTTTCCTTCCGCACGACGCTTGCAAAGGTGCGCAGGAAAGCAACGCGGAAGTCGTCCCAGGTTCGAAGCGTTGACTCGCGGTTCTCGAACCAAGTCCTTGCGGCGTCTTCCAGGTAAAAATACACATGACGCAGCTTGTCGTCCGGGTCCCACTTATTGAGGGCTGCGACGCGGTCGTAAATGTCAAGCCAGCTTTCCGGGTCTTCGTAGGTCGAGCCGCGGAAGGTAGGCGGCTCTTTGGGCTGGTTGACGACCACGGTTGCCGAAGACCTTGCTTCCGTCATCGTGGATGCCGGCTTCGCAGCAGCCTTTGTTTTCTTGTCCTTGTCGGGGAGCGGCAGGTATTCGGGCGGTAGTCCTTGTTGTCTTCGGCTCACTCGAACGACCGGGTCGGCGTCGTCCTCTTGGCGGCTTGGGCTTGGCTCACGGCTGGACGGGGGCGTACGGTACATGGACAGAGAAGCACCTCCACCAGATGTCACGAGGTTGTGATACACGCAGCACTTGAGAGGAAGCACGCAGGAGTCAGGGCGGTGTCAGGCGAACTGTTTATTGGGCGAACTTGTGCCCAGCAAAACAGGGCCAAACACAACTCACAGCAACAGCGGCGTGAACAGTCGTCGGCCGACGGAAAAAAAAAAGACCCCCAGTGGCGCACTGCGCCGGCTTTTTATACACGCGTCGTAACGCGTTCCAAAGTGGCATACAAGATAAACGCGGCCTGCGTTGCGCTTAACAGAAAGTGATAGCGTCTTCCTTCGCAAACGAAAAGAACCGCACGTGTCAGTTTTTTATACACGCGTCGTAACGCGTTCCAGAGTGGCATACAAGATAAACGCGGCCTGCGTTGCGCTTAACAGAAAGTGATAGCGTCTTCCTTCGTAAACCAAAAGAACCGCACGTGTCAATAGAGTCGAGTTATGTCATACCAATATTGGTATCGACACCATTTTTTGAGGTGGCCGGGAGAGCTAAAAGTAGTAGGCGGCTAGATAGACAGCTAGCTATAGATACGCTCAATGTCGTGAAAGTTCCCCAACAAATGTTTCGCATTGAAAAACGGAGTGGACAGAAAGAGCGCAATTTCTGTCTACTTCGTTTTTCCTGTGTTCGTCTGATTTCTGCGCACATATCCTACAATAACTCAAGGTTATATATTTTGCGCCTTGTCACTATGGGTAGCGTTCATATTTCGGCGCAGGTGAGAAGCCACATGCCTATGTACCAGAATTTAGGGGCACGCAAAAGAAGCCCAGGTTGTAGAAATTTTCGAGGGCCGACAGAACGACGTGCCTCACCAGAGAATAATATCAATAATAATATTATTATTATTATTATTATTATTATTATTATTATTATTATTATTATTATTATTATTATTATTATTATTATTATTATTATTATTATTATTATTATTATCCACTAAGCGTAGTATCGGCGTTTTGTGAGTGATCGGAAATCATCGCCAATATAAGGGTATAAATTTTGACGAAGCTCACGCTTGAATCATATAGCATCATCATCGAACCATGCGCGCATTGATGTCTCAATCCTTGCCATGCTTCGATTTTTACTGAAGACGTGGGCCACGAAGTTAGCTGGGAAAGAAACATCCGTGCAATAGTGATGTTCACCGTAGTATAAGCGGTTAAAGAACCACAGGTGGTCGAAATTTCCGGTGCCCTCCACTACGGCGTCTCTCATAATCATATAGTGGTTTTGGGGCGTTAAACCCCGCATATCAGTCATCCAATGAAGCCGTGGTATAAGCTGCCGTCGGGACAGCCGGCAAACGGCCACTGCGCCACAATACTTTGCTGCGAAGTAGCAAAGCAGCTACTACGCCCTCAATTTGTCCCTCAGTTGATAATTATGATAGAGCTTATATAAATGGTGATGATTTTGATGGCGATGATGATGATGATGATGAAGAAGTACTGCTGAGGCTTTTTGTAATCAACGAACAGGTTTTTTTCTATGCACTAGTCTATCCGCTTTTATAATCTATCCACTTATAGGTTTATGACAGCTGGGCGGATTCTACGCTTCTGCCTCGATATATTGGACAGTTATAGTATACTGGACTCGCCGGCATACCGGACGTACCGTGATACCAGAATCGAAGTGCGCATGCGCAGATACATACGTTACCCGTACCACTTACTATACGCGCGGTATTTTTCAGATATAAGGTTACCGTGGTAGCATAAGTGTACGTCGTGTACGCAAACATGACTGTGCTCTCGGACACCCGCTTCGAAGTGATTTTGGCGTAGTTGTAGAAAGATTCACCTTGTTCACAGCCAACGACCATTTAAAGTGGCTTCGCTTGCCTTCGGTAGCTTCCATAACCGAGTATTACGGATAAGGTGGCGTAATTTTCGAGATAGCTTCCCATTTCGAACGCATCTAGGCCTAACTACAAGATCGATGTTAGCAAATCCGCAACATATTTTTTTCTTCGCGTTTGGTGTGTGGTTCATATGTATTTGCTTTTATTAGTAGTAAAATAAATTTGTAACAATGCTTCGCGCGGTGGCATAGGCAAACATTCTCGTTTTCTTTTCCTTTTCACTGTCTTTAACTTATTAACCATCTGATAGGTGGTGCCACCGTCCCCGCTAGGGCACGTAAACCACGTGAACGCTATCCCGCTAAACTATAGAAAGTTTCCACAACGAACGTTTACTGCACGTTAACGTCATCCCTTAACCTCCACTATCACGTTAACCGTAAACTATAACTGTCTATTGTAGTGGTTAACGTCAATCCGTGCCCCACATTACGCCTGTATAAGGTATTTCACTAAATTAAATGTCTCTTCAGGCACTCACGTGCTTTTGTGGCACAACAATTGAGTGCCCCGCTAGGTGCCGGGTTTCCATTCTGACTGGACCCGTGAGTATTATTCTATTGCAACAGGGCGTTTCCTACACTGTCAATGCTGCCGAAACTGACGACACTGAATATTCTGTGACATGGGCTCTTTAACACTACCGTGTTAATATTCCCGAGGGAATTGAGCGGGATACGAGCAAGATCTTCATACTACTTCACGTTCTAGTAAGGATACACCAATGCTATGACTCAATATGTCTCATAAATCCTTCACGCATTGACTGATATATTTGTTTTTTCCTTTACTGCAGGCACGGCGAAATACCGGTGCCAGTCTGATGGTTCTTGGAACGGCGAAACAGGCAACTACAGCTCCTGTACAAGCTCACCTTATCAAGTAAGCACCGGGACGACCTTTGCTTTTTAAGGGTACGTCATGATTCGCGACGTCAATGCTTTTTTTTTACAGAAAGCGTCTCAATTTCTTGTTTAATGTTAACGTTTACTACACAGAAAAATGATACTAGAGGTATGCAATGATTGTTATCATCGCTAAAGTTGGTACAAGGTGTGCTCAGCGGCTTTGAAATGTTAAAAGTATGAACCGCATTACCTTAGTGTTGGCACAGCAAATTCAGAACTGTAATTTCCGCCATCAAATAGAGAAAGAGATCAAGAAGAGAAAAGCCTAAGAGGTTAACCAGACAAGCGTCCGGTTCACCACTTTGCACAGGAAGTGAGGGTATGGGGATTAATAAGCACCAATTTAAGTGAGTAGTTTTCGTTTTTTTCTCTAGTACGCCTGTCAATGCATTGAAAGGTTTTCAGTTTCCTTAACATAACACAGCATCTTTCAAAGCATACACGAAATACACATATCGTACACAAAATTATTGTTTATGTACTTTCCATTTTCTGAAGAAAACACGCTTCCTTAGTATATTTTTATAGGACCTCGTAATTCGTTCGCACTTGTTCATTGATTCACTCGGCTATAAGAAATGATGTGACGAGGAGGTGCATGCCTAAGGGAACACAAGGAGAGACCATAGACGACAATATTTCTTAAATGCATCAATATTCAAACGTGTTTCTCTGAATAAACGACAGCCCATTTCAAACAAGAGTCACCATTTCGGAAAAAAAAAAACTGGGCAGACCAGTCAGATGCGTTGCTGTTTCCAATTCGGCGATTCGGCTTTCATTGTCACGAGGTTATCACCTGGTAAAAAGCTGACCATGGAATACTCAATACTCTTTGAAAAAGAGTTGAGCGCATTTCTTTGGCCATTTCTAAATACGCCAGGGCCCTTTCACGCACGCCTCGAAACGTGGCGACAGGGAGTGAAGAGAAATATCATCCCGTATTCTGGTATGGGTTATTCTGTAACTGCTATGTTTGCTTGCCACGTGAGCCGGTAATTCTCGATGTGTGCCCGTCCTTCCAGGATACCGAGCTGAGGCTGCTGCGGGCAATCGCTCATGACATCGGCGAGTACGTACCGTGGGAGCAGATCTCGGCGCGCGGAGAGAACTGGATGTGGCAGGAGAAGATCGGCCACTTCAAGCACTGTCTCGAGCACGTGCTGCTCAAGCCTCCAGTCGAGAACGGTACGAGTCCGGAGCTTGAACGGAGCCACGCGCGTCGATAAGCGGTGAGGATGGAACGTTTTTCTTTTATCGAAGCACGGTCTTTTCTCGCAGATGGGAACCAGACACTTTGTCCGCGCACTTGGGACGGCTGGAACTGCTGGGACGACACGCCTCCCGGTCGAACGGTCCACGCGCCCTGTCCTCAATTCGTGGCCGGGTTTCTGTCGACCAGTAAGTTGATTGCATCTTCAGTACGTTGGCAGTTCCGTGGAGATGTGCCGTGTTTTGTGACAAAATGCACCCGTAGCACCGCAAAACCTTGATCACTGTCACAGGGTGACCAGAGTGAGGCGAAAGAACTAGAAATGACAACTGACTATTTTAGGCACTACATCATTGTCACAGATAATCTTTATAGCACTGTATCAAAGGCAGAACTGATTCGTCAGATTAATAGAAGGGGAGTGAATCCGCCTATTAGATATTAATGACGCAGGCAGTCCATTCTTGAGCAAAATATGCAGTGTTATCACATTTCGTTATAACGGCAGCGCAAATTTTTTTCCAAACCTGAGAGAGCCAGGAAAAGATCATTACTGATCAAAGAGCTTGCCAAAGGGTGAGGGGTGGATCGTTATTAAATTTTTGAAGTTCTGAAAACCTTTCCGATTTTTATTTCATGCAAGACATAACACTAATACCTGTCATCAAATTTTCAATATCTGTAGACTGGTAGATTTTCACGTGTATGCATAGTGTAGCTAAGAAAAAAAACATTACAAGTTGGATTTCCCCCATTTATAAAATGGAAGTTAGTCGATCTATGAAAAATCGGGGTTATGCATTGTGCACCTAACGAATTCACATGCCTGTGGAAATGCATGAAAATATATAGCTGTTTCGGAATACTCCTATCAAACGCTGGACTTCGTGGTAAAATAAACGCGTGCCTCACCACGACTATTTAAGCATGATACACGTATTTTTTTCTATATGCTACTGCCGACTGGTCACATTACGCAGTCCATTTTTTACCAGTTTTATCGAATTTTCTTTTAAAGGGCAAGCGCACAAACTGTGCACTGCCAACGGCACGTGGTTCCGTCACCCTGTCACAGGACTCGTGTGGTCCAATTACACAGCATGTGTGGATACTCATGATTTACAGGTACGTAAGGCACCCAGGTTACCCATTTTACGGACAAAAAATACTACTATGAGTGTTATGATACTGATCACTCTCAAGAACATGGCAACATTTTTGTTGTATGTTGAGCAAATTATTTGTGAAGCACTTTCGTTAGCTCCACCATTGTCAGTTCTTTGATTGCTTCAGAGCGCATCCTTTTAATCTCAATATTGCTCAACAACAACAACAGAAAAAAAGATGCTCGAAGTAAGAGAAGAGATTTACACTAGGTAATTGAGGGTAGATAATGAATACATGAAGAAAATATAGGCTTACCACAGCTTACTGAGCTTTTTTTTTTTGCTAGCCTGGAAATTGCTACGGCTCATTTGGACATTACTGACTGAATGTGACAAACACGGACGTGTGCTTTTCTGAAGCTAGATGTAGGAATAATTTTCTGAGTTTTATTTTGTCAAGACACACATGTTTGAAGTATACAGCGGTTTATAAATAAGGGACCATTTGTTGCTGCTTCGTTATGTTCGGATATCAGCTGAGAACGAGACGCAACAGTCCGCTCCACACATCAATATTTATGACATTCGTGAAAATGACTACCACAGATTATGAAATTCTCATGAAATACGGGCGGCTGCTGTGAGCGATGGACCGAGACATGACGCTTTAACAGCACAGTCCCTTTAATAAACACACACACGACACACCCTTTATGGTAAAGAGATACAGAACCAATATTAGTAACTTCAAATTCATACTAAGCTAAAAAGCTTACACTCCAACTGCACTTCAAATTAAGCCGTGTCATCATCGGGCATCTCTAGCGTCATAGTTCCGATCAAGATTCGAGCCGACCTTACTTGTGACCTCTGGCCCCGCCGCGGTTTTCAATAGTGGCCAAGGTATACGCGGCTGCTGAGCCGCAGGTCAGGGGATCAGATCCTGCGGCGGCTCCATTCTCGATGGAGGCTAAAATGCTGTAGGCCCGTGTGCTCAGATTTGGGTGCACGTTAAAGAACCCAGGGTGGTCGAAATTTCTGGAGCCCTCCAGTATATACGGCGTCTCTTATAATCATATGGTGGTTTTGGGACGTTGCACCCCCCATATCAATCATCATTACTTGTCACCTCCGATTACCTTGACGCCAATGTCCTGATCGGTTCTGTCGGGGATGCCGAGGTTCCCCACGAACTTCGCCGTTACTGGCGCTGCCGACGTGTTCGCCCTTCGTCGTCGCCGCCTGATATCGGAGACGTGGCGGATGTCTCGTTGGTTGGGCCCTGCTGCTGCACGCGATACCCGGTGCTATACACTGACGTGGTTACCCATAAACTGTTTTCGTCGGCTTGCCTCGACGGGTGCTTGCGCCAGGAGCTTCGGCGCTTACTCTGCACGGCTGTGCTTACTCTGCATCCCGAGCAGCGTCCTTCACAGCAGGTCGATATCTCCGTGTACTTCTCGGGACGCCCGCGTCACAGGTTGTGGAGTCGCCATCCTGACGCTCCCATTGCCAGTGAGCTTGCTGGCGATGTGACCTTCTCCTTGAAAGTCCACGTTGACCATGCCAGCGCATCGCTGCTCGCGCGCCGATGGCAGCTCGGGTGACGCGCCTCGTCCTTCACTCTTAGGTGCGCCCGCTGGCGCAGTGGCGACCATTCTTCCGTGTTGATAGTTCTTACAAATTCTCTGTCCTTTTGGAACTGCCTCATTTTGTTTTAGTTCCACGCGTTCGACATCCACCCTCGGAGGCAGATCATTCTTTCTGGCACTCTTTGCAACTATATTTCGGGAATGCGTCCAACTTTCTATGTCCATGAGCGAACAGCCAATCTTTGTCTTGAGGCTACCTGTATAGGTCGTATTCATTTCCTCCAAGCACTTCTTTACTATATCGGCGCGCCATTCGCTAACCATTGCATTTCTGCAACTGCAAGTAATGTCTAGCTCATTTTCCTTGCATTCAATGTCACAAAAAACTATTACCATTGGCACAATGCCTGTGTCCCCTACCCACTTTATCAACTGAAGCGCTGGCATCAGTCAGGCGCACTAACCTTTCTAGATAAAACTTCTCCGCCTTTCGTTTGTACCAATCTCAGTTGGCGTTCTAGTGTCTGCTTTTCTCTGGCACGAATAGCCGGAATTTCGGCGCGTTTTGACAGAAGTTTGGTATTTTGCTCCTGCCTCGCGAGCTCTCACTTTTCTCGAACACGCTCTATCTCTTCTTCAATGAACTTTAAACCATATTCCTTACTCAGCTTTTGCTCTCGATAAATCCTTAATATTTTGTCCCGATCCTTCGCCGCGACAACGGAAAATCAGTGACTAGGCTGGATTGAATCCTGGCAGGCTCGCCAATAGTCACGGATTGGCTGTGGGAGATGTGGTCGACAGACTGAGACAAGACAGTGTTAACAACAAACATATTTATTAGGCGCTCACAGAAACGACTTGAAAATGTACAGAACAACTACTAACAACTCCAAACTAAATTACAACGAACCTATGAACAAGCCTCCATACAGACTAAACTGTCTTAAATATCGTCCGGAAACCTATGAGCGGGCGTCCCGAAGAGTAGACGGAGACCTCGACCGGCTTCGAGGGAGACTGCTGGGGATGCTGCAGCCGTACAAAGCAAGCGCTGACGTTCCTGGCGCAAGCCCCCTTCGAAGCAAGCCGCTGAAGACTGTACCCGGGTGGCCACGTCAGCCTGCAACACCAGGTATCGCCATCACCCCCCCCCCCCTAGCTCTAATCTTGGAGACCTCCACCACGTCAGCAATGACTTAAGGCGACGACGACTACGGGTGACCATGTTGGCAGCGGCAAGTACGACGTAATTGGTCAAAACCTTCGAGAACACCGACAGGTACCCGACATGACAGATCGGGCCATTGACAAAAAGCGCGTCTGCTATGACAAGTAAGCTCCAGGAGAAGCATTAGGGCTATAGAGTTGCCACACTCTAATTAAGAGAGTTTAGTCTGTATAGGGGTTTGTTTGTAGGTTAGTTGTAACTTAGCTTGGAGTTACTACTAGCTGTTTTGTTCACATTATGTATGTTTTTGCCGTGAGTGTTTATTAAACGGGCTACGTTTTTAAAGGGCCAGTTAACAGCCTTGAGGTCTAAAAATTTTTAAAAAGAGATATATGTGTTGTTTTTCTTTGCGAACACGTTGCTGCAAGAAGTTTGCGAATACGTCCTATATAAGGAATTTAGAGGGGTTAGAACATTGATCTAAGCTGGTTTGAAATTGTCGTGCGGCCTCGCCCCCCTTCTCCCTTCCATGAAAGGGAAGGCGTAGCCCATCTTCGTGACTCCGCCCACGTTGGCAACGTGAAACCACGTCAGCGATTGACGTCATCGGCGAACTTGATCAGTCGCAACGCACTTCCGCTTGCTGCGATGCGTGGTTGGTTGTTTACCGTTTGCCGCACCAGCCACGGGTCAACCGTGTAAGCGTCAGGTGCCAAGCGTCGACCACAAACGATCAGGTCTCCGACGTACGTCGCTGGATGGCCGATTCGCTTTAGCCGTGCAGCGTGCAGGGCCCCATCGTGAGGCACCCGGTGCCGATGCTTCCCCACTGCCCAGTCGCTCGATTTGACGACAGAGCAACGCTTTTTACCCGTGCTGCTCATGTCAAGGGCCAAGTGCGTTAGTACGTGCGCACAGGCGCTGTAGTTGAGCGAGGAGTGCACACGTGCACGCGACAACTGCGAGGCTGGTTCTTTCAGCGCAGTGCCAAAAAGCAAGGGGCAGTCTCGTATAGTTGTGGGTGGGAACAGGAACTGACGTTGACTTCACTACTGTTTTTTTCACACCTGATTTAGACCAATCGGCGAGCTGCTTTGGCAAGCTGCGTGCTACGTCACGTTGCCGATCGCGAAGTCGACGTCATTGCGCGTGCAAGGGGGTCAGTCAGGCGTAGGAACGATGCGTGGGAATTGGTTTTCGAAAGAGAGGCTCTGCGCGGCGCGCAGCGCTTTAATGTTCAGAAAACGGGATCGCTGCGGTCTAATCTACGAATCGCCGAGCTTGTATGGGGGTTGTAAAAAAAAAAGTCGGAGCCTGTTTACTGACCCTTTAACTGAGTCTCGTCTCAGTAAATCGCCTGCGTCTGCCGTCTGTAATCGGCGACAATTACTCAGATAATCAACCAATTGAGTAAAAAATATGCGCGTCTGCACGTTTCAGACAGTAGAGTGTTACTAAATTAAATTTCTTATTCTAGTAGAGCTTCATCCGAGAAACAAATATTTATCATGCAACATTCCTCACGAAAACATATTCTGCATTATTATGCTAGAGTCATGAGGGTTCGGGCCTGCAAATCCTTTTTTTTTGTGCGATTTTCAAATGTGAATGAATAGCGTTGTGGACGTATGAAAATTCAGCAAATTTAGTAACAATAACCGACTGATTACAAAATGGTGGCGACAGTCATTTATAGCGATAGCTTTGTCAGCACATACTTCGATAAGTGAACTGTGTTACAGGAGACGTGTTCTGAAATGTGGGGTTAACCAATGCTCACATGAACTTTTATTTTTTGCAGTTTAGAAACTTGGTCAACTCATTATACGTCACAGGATACTCAGTATCACTTGTGGCTCTTATTTTATCCATGCTCATATTTTGTTACTTCAGGTGAGTCTAAGTATTCAAACTTACTTTCTTCAGTTAGATGCCTGTTCTCGAACAGATGCGGTATTGCCTGACCTGTTACGCAAATTAATCAAACCTGAGTCACACATAAGACAAAAAACATTGCATGATCCGTGAAAGTCCCCACATGTATCCAACTGAGTGCTAACGTTCCCTGTGTGATTTGAGTCATTCTCTTTTTACTTGCATGAGTTCATCCTTTTTTTATACACTACCGGATTGCATTACACTATTTGGCGTTTACTATACTCGCGGCACAATTCGAGACTCTAGCTCTTCGTTGATGTGACGTCAAAAAATAAATGAGGTCTGGACTGGTCGATGTATGAAAAATACAAAAAAAGTTTATTTGGTGCTTTTACAAGTGATTTGGCTTGCCCGTTTTGGCCAATTTCGTTGTTAAATGTATTCGTTTTTGTCGAACAGCCATGAAGAGTGAAATATTTCAATGTTCTACAGGTGTGAATATATGTATGGAACATGAATGCTATATATATTATAATATTGCAGGTCACTTCGCTGTCGGAGGATCACAATTCACAAGAATTTGTTCACATCCTTCATTATCAACAATCTTTGCTGGATACTATGGTACATTCACATCATAGCACAACCACACGTGATCGCTGAAAATCCGGTAAGCAGCGGGGAAAAAAACATGCTTCTCTGGAGAGTGGTGTAACCTAATTACGCGCGTTCGACTGACTTAGCAGTGGGACCGCGGCGCCCGCGAAAGAACGTTTTATCTAAACGACGTGTTGTTCCCTTGCGACAGACCTGGTGCCAAGCTCTGCACGTGGTGACGCAGTACTTCCTGTTGTGCAACTACCTGTGGATGTTCTGCGAGGGCCTCTACTTGCACACGCTGCTTGTGCTTGCCTTTATCGCGGAGGACAAGATCCTCAAGTGGTTCCTGCTCATCGGCTGGGGTGCGTACACAACGAAGTTGGTTGTGAGAAGTTCGGGGAAGGCGGTATGGGATGTTTTTCTCTTTTTTCCGCTGAAATGCGCGTGTTCTGATAAATAAGAACGTCTCCTCTAGTACGCGGCAGTTTTTTCGCAGGGATATCTGCATGACACACTATTGACGTTTGCCCACGTCTGTTACCTGCTATGTTGGGTTAGCGGTAACGCTGTTTCGTAGATATAAGTGTGCTGCCGGTATGATATCCGGTAATGATAGTCGCGTCACGAAGGCGGCTAAACGCAACGACGCCTCTGCACTTTTGTTTCGCTGCATGTTATGGTATAGATCCTACATTTATCAACCCTGAGTGGTAAGAGACACTCGAGAGACCCGAACTAGGCATGACTGAGGTGTGTAAAATAAAAAAAAACATAAATAAATAAATTTCATGTGTGCGCGAAAAGAGTGGCTGAGAAAGAAACGAAAGCAAAAAGCAGATTGTTTTGCGCTGGTGATAACGAAGAGTTACAATCAACAGAGAAGGTGGAAAAAATTTGCCCCGTATCTGCATGTTACACTGTGAATGTCGTCGAAAGACGAGAGTCTTGCGTCGGTAAAGAGTGAAAAAAAAAACCGTTTATTTGATGTTCTGCGCAAGAAAATCGGTGAACGGTATTCTGTAGGCGCTGCGTTAGAGTGCCTCGAGCGTGCAGAGGAGGCGAACGAGCGCATCAAGTCACGTCAGACGTGTGACATGAGCGCTATCTGGCAGTTATTGTGGAAAACGAAGCGCGCGGCATGCGCGACCGTTTAGTAGGTGATAAGGTATAGAACGCAAGGTGACGGGTAGGTGCCACTACCGTGTCGTCTTAGCCAAGCGTTGGAAACACTTGCCTTTTCGTGCAATAGTTGTATGGTCAACGCAGCGTGATAAACGCTACGGTCCTTAGAAGTACTTATGTATGCCTTTTCTAGTAAAAGCCAAACATGCAGAATACTGACGTGTGGTTATGGTGCCTCAGATATGCGCAATAATTATTTTTTAATTGATAATCGCACAAGTAGCTGCAGATATGCGTAATAATTGTTTTAATAGACAATCGCACAAGTATGAGCGCTGATTCTTGAGCAATATTGCACATGGGGTCGGCCGTTCGGGGTACCATTTGGTGTCTTTTAGGGTACCATTAAGGTCGGACAAGCAAACAAATGTTTTTGCGTCGAAGGTCCCCAAGAAAGACTATCGTCTTTAAAAAAGTGCTTCCAGAGTCAACTAAAAGAGGAAGAGCGGGAAATGTAACGTCGACTACCATCGCGTCGAAACACCTGTATGCCGCTTAAGAGAGTAAGCCGGCAACGCAATACGGTTTTTAAGCGTGTCCCGGACTCCTCCTTGACGATGCATTGTAAATGTAACAAGGATGAACATGTACATATAATTTGTTTTTATTTGTGTGAAAAGCCAAAGCATTTGAGTTGGGCTCTACCTAAGCCTGTTTTCAAAACGACATACCTCGGCGATTTACATTAGAAGCTTCGAATCAATAATATTGGAAAAGTTTTTTTTTTCGCCAATTCAAGTCTTGAGCCTCTTTTGCACACTTAAAGTTTTCTTAGGAAGAACCTAGACTATTTAAATTGGGAACTCTAAGTGGACTAACACTACGAACTTGCGTTTTAACATTTTTAGCATAGCACTAGCCCCGTAACAGCTTTACGGCATAGAGTAGGTACACGTGTTTTTAGGTAGCGGCCTGGGAAGTTGTTTTCTATGCTGAGCAAAACGCTGACGGCTTTATTCTGCTACCTGTCTTGGAATTACTCTGGTATTTCACATCCCTTCTTTATATTTCGGTTCACTGCTGTTAGAGGTGAAATTTCGCGAAACTCTTTTTCGTAAATGTACCACACAGAGTCAATTACGAACTAATTAAACTCATTGTGAGTCAGTTCATTTCCACGCTACAGATTTCTGTGCATCCGGCGTTCTCGCTCATCAACAAATTCGCAACCTCCTCATCTCTCTGCACAGTTATTGCACATAAGAAAACCTCAATCTGGTAAAACGTTAATCTTATTTTTAAATATAATATCAGTGTCACACTGGCACTTTTAATCCCGATCAGGGCGATCCCGATCAGTTCTCTTGATCGCGATCAACTTTATGACCACTGCTACACGGCTCAAGCTAATCTAGTTCGAACTTGGGTCAGATTAAATGCCCCAGGTGGCATTTGCGTGCCGTAAAACAAGCCACTGACAAAACTCGACGTACGGTATATCTATAGAGTTCTTTATCAGCGATGTTATTTGTGCAAGAACCGCTCGAATGTCAAAAACTTTGCATGTCAACATACGATAGTAATTTCATAAATCCATCGCCCGATAAAATTTTCCTAGCACTTACCTGTATTGCTGTGTGACATTCTTAACCTTCGCTTTTATTTATGATGGCCCCCGCTCGTAGCCGTGTAGTCGCAGCGAAGCGTCGGTCTCGTTGTACGCGCCATGGCGCCTCAAGTCTGCTCCAGTCGCTCCTACTAGCGGTCAATTACTGTAAGGAACTCTTCATTCGACCAAGAAGTGCACGTACGTTGCGACGTAGTCGAAAGGCTTGCGACACTCATAATCGGTTTGCTTTTAGGTGCTCCAACAGCTCCGACGGAGTGAGAGTTGAACTAAGCGTTGAAGGCAACGGTCGACTGCTTGTCGTATGCTTCTCCCGGAAATACATTCGGTCGATGCGAATCCTAAATTATACAATACTTAGGATATTGTTCCAATTTAAACAGTTTATAATTGGCTTTTTATACACATCTTGCTGTTTTAAAGCGTTTTTATTGAACTATGCTCGATTTTCTTGTTCATTTCGCTTTCAACAAGCTCGGCTAGGGGGTGCAGACGACAGCAAAATCGCGATGCGCGGGTTGCCACAGTCTCGATCCCGATCATGTCTTATCGTGAATAAAAGTGACCGTGTAGCAGCACCTAATCTGGATCGTGGTTAATCCGGATCGACACTGATCGCGATTAAAAGTGCCCGTGTGACACCGGTATAAGACTGTCAGAGATAACCGTTACTGTAGGCTCTCGGTGCTCTTGACAATATGTAAGTTTTTATTTCATGATTAAAAATGTTTATTGTGCCACATTTGCTGAAAATATTTGGTCTAGTTTTAATTGCCGAGCATTTGGAACGTCTGGATTATTGCATGAAATTCATCAGACAACAAGTTTTTGAACTTGTACCCTTTATAGGTTGAGTATCGTCGATGCTTTTTACGTAGTGTTGTCGCCGGCTTTCCTTATTACTTTATTATAACTTTTTCTATCCTAATAATCAAGAAGAAACTCTCCTGGATGACCACAAGTGAGACATCACTTTTTGCAGGTTTTCCTTTGCTGCCAATAATTGCTTACACAGTTCTGCGATCATTGGACCCAGAAGCGTCAAACATGTAAGTGAATATCGTCCTGCTTTTTACCTTGCAATCGTGTGGGTTCTTCCACGTAACGTACATCTGTTATAAGATAAGATTAAACATGAAGCGGCCTCAGATGTGAATCAAACCCAAAGTTGAAAATAATTTCTTTATTCGATCAATATCTGTCTATAGCATTAATATAGCAGAACGAAATAGCAAAGCTGCCCCAAAACAGCACGCATGGCTTGCGAGATATCCTTGGGCAAGTTGTTTAGGTGAAGCTACCTCAAGTGCCAAGTCAGCAAATCACAATAATCGTTTGTGCAGTGGATGTTCTACTTTTGTTTTATGTCTCCGCGCAGGTGCTGGGTCGAGCATGACGTCTGGTATACATACATCCTCAGTGTTCCTGTTTGCTTCTCAATACTGGTACGTTCTCAGCTATCGTTGTACATTACAGCTTTCAATTCTGAAATAAGGTGGTAACGAAAATGTCCTGATTCAAAAACCAACTCTCACGTGCTCAAAACTTGTTTCACTGATTTATACAGCTGAGCTTCGCATTTCTCGTGAACATCGTCAGGGTCCTGGTCACAAAGCTTAGAGCCGTGAATTCTCCTGACAACGAAAGCACAAGGTGCGTATATTCGATTTGCTTATGATCCTAAACTTCATGAATCTAACCGGGTTACATAACCTGATAATCAAAGTAAACATTATTGATAAATAAGTAGACATAATCAAATAAATTTTATTTCAGTGAATCGACACAGAAGAACGTATACTTTAGTGTTTCCTTAATAATTTCTTTCTGTAAATAGTTGACCCAGTAAGCGAAAAAAGTTGACACGTTGAAGGCTAATTTTTTCTTGTTTGCTACAATATCAACGGGATCTAACAGACTAATATGCCTAGTAGTGTATAGGGGTTGTTAATGATGTTACGTATATCAAGCCTGCAACCTTCAAATTTTACTTAAACCTATAGTTTGAAAGTCGCAAATTACGTTTCCGGCTGCAACACAGCAATGTAATTCTATAATAGTGGGTTTCCTGAACTGCATAATTTAAAGTAACAATATCGACGAAAGGTCTTCATTGCATTTTCTTCCCAATGTACTTAATTTTAGATCAGTAAAACCCTAATTAATTGTTAAACCTAAACTATAAATGTCTAAATGTAGCCTTAAGATAAACAAACTGAAGAAATTGCTAAATAATAGCTGTATGGCACTTTTATCTCAGCCTAATATCGATAGGTTAGCCAACTCGGGAGAACGAAATCCACTGAAGAGTAACGTGAACGGTGCACATACAGCATTCATTTTCAAATGATCAGCTGTGCTAACTTCCTATTGTCACTAAAGCAGATAGTGTACACCTACGGTATTTTACAATTAAATGCGAAGCATTTCTTAGCGGACTTCGGCGACTTTGAGCGTATCTATCTATCTATCTATCTATCTATCTATCTATCTATCTATCTATCTATCTATCTATCTATCTATCTATCTATCTATCTATCTATCTATCTATCTATCTATCTATCTATCTATCTATCTATCTATCTATCTATCTATCTATCTATCTATCTATCTATCTATCTATCTATCTAGCCGCTTACGTTTGAGTGCTCTCGTAGTCAACCCCTTTACTTGGCGTGAACTAAAATTAGCATAGGAGGGTAAGATGGTTTGACGAATATGACGCGCAAGTCAAGACATGCATACCGTCCCAATCCCGTCGCTTTCATCATGATACTTTCCGCCAGACAGTGGCACATACCCACGGGTGGGTATGTGCCGCTGGTATGCGGGTATGTGCCATTGGTGATGGACACTTAGTATCTATACCCAGGAACGACGACAGCACACATGGCCAATTTTGACGCGCGAGCGTTAAGAAATACCCGACATCGGTAGCGTCGACCCGACGAACGCAAAGAATAAATGTCAGGGTCCCAGCTGGAATCGAGCCCAAGCATACTGCGTGGCAATGAAGCATTTTACCACAGATCTACGCCAGGCCTTGAAAGTACTTTTCAAATAGATGCTATTATTTGTGAAACGCTATAGTGGTTGCACTGCTGCCTACCCAGTTTTATAAACATTACATATGTACTTCTTTCATACAGCCGTTTTGTCGGTTTAGCGTCAACTGTGCTTAGTTGCAATGCGCTGAAGTTGATTTATGTAGCAGTGTTCAGGGCCAGCATCCTCGCGAGCACCAGCGCTTCATATCAACTTCTGGTGTTGCTAATACGCATGTTCCAGTTGGCATCGTTGCGCAAGTGCAAACAACTGGTTATGTAAACATCTGCAACTCTTCAACATATGTCTGTACGTGCAACATTCGTACATATATTTAGCGTTATTTCATTACTTGTCGATTAATAAAAATAATGCAATATGGTCACCTTCCCTCCGCATGCTTCGCATAGCGTCAATCTCCAGATACGTGGGATTTGTCGAATTTTTTCTAATATATTGGACAAGAACCACGAAAATGACAAATATACCTCAGAAACCCTAATGACCACCTAGCGTGCGACGGAACTAAGTGAGACTGGTGTAACTTTATGAAACAAAGAGGACAGAAGAGTGGACAAAAGCACAAAAAGAAATGGCCGATATTCTAGCACGTCTGAAAAGCTACAAACTGACCTCAGCGGGTAGACAGACAAACGATATGCTTTCTGTGGGGACCGTTAGCGAAAGATGAGAAGCATATACTGGTTGGAACTAAAATAACAAACTAGGAGCCAATAAATGGAATGAGCTTGCGCAGGACAGCATGGATCAACGTGAGAGGTGGAGAAGCGATGTTCTTGCTGTAGTCATAGAATATAATAACCATAATGAAGATGACAACGATAACCATAATGATAACTTGAAGCTGTCCTATTTCTTTTATTGAAGCTTTTCATAGGGTTGTGGTGGGGATGCGCTGATAACATCTATTTATCAAACAATAATGCACTTACTTCTTAAAATGACCCGGGAGTTGTGTGGTGGGCAGCACATGAAGGAAAACCGTTTCAATAACGCGCAGTCTGGAAAAGGCTTTTTGGCATCATTACGAAACTTACAATGCGAATCAGTAAACAGCAAGGACAGTGGCGTACTCCCTCATTAAGTGCCTAGCATACCACTCATGAAAAATCTGTTTGTTTGCGAACCATTCTAGAAATTGTATATGGTGTATATTGTATAGTGGTGCAACCCACAACAACAACAACATCATCATCATCATCATCAACCTGACTACACCCACTGCAGGGCAAAGGCCTCTTCCATGATCTGCCATTTAACCTGCTTTTGTGCCTTCTGCTGCCACGTTATACCTGCGAACTTTTTAATCTCACCATCCCGCCTAACTTTTTGTCTCCCCTGCGTGCGTTTGCCTTTTTTGGAAATTCAGTCAGTTACCTTTAATGACCAGCGGTTATGCCAACTACGTGCTACGTATCAAGCTCATGTCCACTTCTTCTTCTTGATTTCAACTATCATATTCTAAACCCTAGTTTGTTCCCTGACACATTCGCACTTCTCTCCTAAGGCTATACACCTATCATTTTCATTTGCATTGTGAGCTGCGTCGTCCTCAATTTAAGCGAAAGCCTTTTTTAAGCCTCCAGGTTTCTGCTCTGTTGGTAAGTATTGGCAAGATGCAGCTGTTATATACCTTCCCCTTCAGGGTTAGTGGCAAACTACCATACATGATTTGCGAATGCTTGGCGAATGTGTTCCACCTCATCCTTATTGTTCTAGTTATTTCAATATCAGGGTTCCACTCCGCGGTTACTACCTGTCCTATGTAAACATATTCCTTTTCAACTTACAGTGTCTCTCCACCTATCGCGCCCCGCCGTGGTGGTCTAGTGGCTAAGGTACTCGGCTGCAGACCCGCAGGTCGCGGGTTCGAATACCGGCTGCGGCGGCTGCATTTCCGATGGAGGCGGAAACGTTGTAGGCCCGTGTGCTCAGATTTGGGTGCACGTTAAGGAACCCCAGCTGGTCGAAATTTCTGTAGCCCTCCACTACGTCGTCTCTCATAATCACATGGCGGTTTTGGGATGTTAAACCCCACATATCAATCAATCAATCAATCAATCAATCAATCAATCAATCAATCAATCTCCACCTATCTCAAAGCGCTGTTTTCTGCCGAGACTGTTGCACATTACTTTTGCTTAGTGGGTAATAATTTTCAGGCCTACTCTTCTCCTTTCCATGTACAGTTCAGTAATCATGAGCTGTAACTCGTCTCCTGAGTTTTTCGTCATGGCTATGCGCTCAGTGAATCGCTTGTTACTAAAATACTCCCCATTGACTCTTATCCCCAACTCTTGCTAATCTGAGGCATTGGAAACTTCCAGTAAACACGTTATGAAGAGCAAAGGAGAGATCGTGTCTCCCTGCCTTTCACCCTATTCGAATTCTCTCACTTTCTTTATACAGAACTATGGTGGTTGTGGATTCACTGTAGATTTCTTCCGGTATGTTTATAAAGCGCTCGTCGATGCCCTGATTCCATGTTTCCGGCGTTACTGCAGATGTCTCGAATAAGTCAAACACCTTCAGGTAATCTACGAAAGCTATGTATAGGCGCTGGTTCTATTCTGCCCATTTCTCCATTACCTCATTGATCGTATGAATATGGTCCATCCAGGAGGACCCTGTACCAAATCTTGCGTGGTCCTTTCGTTGATTGAGCTCTAACGTTGCCTTAATTTTGTTAGCTATTAATTTTGAAAATAGTTTGTAACAGACAGTAAACTGATCGGCCTGTAATTTTAAAGCCCTTGACGTCTCATTTATTATCTCTTAAAATGATATTAGCGTTCTTTCAAGATTCTGGTACCCTTCCCGTCAAGAGACACTTCGTATATAGTGGGGAAAGTTTTTCTAACACAATTTCTCCGCCATCTTTCAGGAGGTCTGTTGATACCGTCTGTCTTCCCCAGCGGCTTTTCCTCTTTTCATTCTTTCAAGGACTTTCCTTACTTCCTTTGTTGTTACTTGTAGGATGTAGAATTCATCTAGGCTTTACTTGCTTGTTACAAAATCATTCATGTTCTTTCGGGTTCTGTACAGCTATTTGTAAAACTCATTCCCCACCCCAATTCAGAACATATCGATTTTATTTCAGAAAGTAATTCGAAATTTACTTGGTGGTCAATGTTTCCTTAATTATCTTATGACTTCTACGCACCAGAAATGCATTTATAAAGAGATGGCAGTGTTGTGTAGAAAATCATAGGTGTGTGATTTGCATGCAAACTGTCTAATCACACATTCGTCATATTTTGTTTATTGCGCGCTTGTAGATGCAATTTGATCACTACACCGGCAAAATTGGACCAGTCGAAGTGTACCCCAATATGATTGCACACATGGCATACAGGCCTGTGCGCTCAGATTTGGGCACAAGTTAAAGAACCCCAGGTGGTCGAAATTTCCGGAGCCCTCCACTAAGGCGTCTCTCATAATCATAAGGTGGTTTTGGGGCGTTAAACCCTACATATCAATCAAATACACACATGGCATATCTCACAGCGCTACAGACTCTTATCAAGTGAGCATAATGCATCACTGAGTATGCATATTGAACAGTCATGAACATTTGCATACAGTGCTCCAGCCACTTTTTTCTCTCTGCCCACTTTTTGGGGCTTATATGTGAATTTAGAAGTGGGAGTGTCAGTCAGCGCCCTCTGTAGCCAAGCGGTGAGTGTGAAACACTCTTTTATGCGCATGTGTGGCGTCCCGTAGCACGTGAACTTATTACGAGCGGGCAGCTGACCAATATAGTCCCTCGTATACAACCTAATGGCACCAAGTCTACCAGTACGAGACCCTCGTTAATGAATAAGGGAAAGAAGTGTGTACATAAGGGCTCGTTCTTCCGTGTTTTTGACACAATATTAATGAGATCTAACAGACAATAATGACAAGGAATGTATAGGGGAAGTTATTAAAACAAATGGAATGTAAATAGGAAGAAAGAAAAGACGGTGAAAAAATAAGCAGCCGTGAGCAAGAATCGAACCTACGACCTTCGAATAACGCGTTCGATGCTCTAACCACTGAGCTAACCACGTGCGCATAAAAGAGTGCTGCACACTCGCCGCTTGGCTACAGAGGGCGCTGACTGACACTCCCACTTCTAAATTCACATATAAACCCAAAAAAGTGGGTGGAGGGAAAGCCGCTGTGATAGCTCAGTGGTTAGAGCTCAGTGGTTAGAGAAATAAATAAATGATAAAATCATCCTTCGCAAACACAATGCGACATCTTGAGTACTAATAATAGGATTCATGCGTAGTACACCATCGATGCCTTTTTTCATTGCTCAAGCTTATCTATTTATTTAATTGTTTAAGGAAAAAGTACGACGACTTTGGAAAATATTTTAGCAAACATTCCTAGCTCAGAATAGGCAGGTCGAAAACCTTGCTTTATTTACGCATCGGTATTCTGAAATAAAACTCACTTTTGTAATTGAATGTTTTAATGCTAATATAGTTGCTTGCATTCCTGTTGAACAGTTCAATCTTTTCTGATATATTTTTACCAGGAAAGCTGTACGAGCCACTGTGATCTTGCTTCCCCTCTTGGGCTTGCACTACGTGGTGACTCCGTTCAGACCAGATAAAGGGTCCATACTGCTCGCCTACGAGATAATATCAGCGCTGGTCACATCATTACAGGTACACCACATTGTCGTGCTTTATTAGCTTCTACTTGTTTTGTCTTTACACGGAGCTGTAGTGCCAAAATACCTGTCACACCTATGAGCAGGATGGAAGAGTAATTCGAGAAAGCAAATAAGTACTGAAATATGTTTTGCACTCCTCAACTTGGTATATAAAAAGTCTCTAGCAAGCTTCAAAGTCATAAAATATATTCCCGAAAGGGCGAAGACACGAAAACATCGGAGCGGGGGTAGGAATGAGGGGGGCCCAAGAAGGAGTCGGAAAAAGATGTGTACTCACGTAACCATTTGAAAGTATGCATTTCCTATATTTTATATGGCCCATCTATGAAGAGCATTTAGCATCACGGTTCGAGAAAATATATCAATGCCGATATTTTGAATAATTGAAATCTGAACAACGATACTGAAGTATACACTGTTTTTGTTCGAAGGTTATGTTTAAACACATATTGCTGGCATGGTATGACTCCAGGAAAAACTCCTAGAGACTATTCACCACTATGTAGCTCATTAACATGCTTATTAAGGAAATTAAAATATTTTGGGTGAAACAGAGTAACGTGCAGGCCGCAGAACACTGGTGAACACCCGCAGGCCGCATGCGGCCCACTGACCACGCATTTGAGGCTCCTCTCATATATACGGCCGAAAACATGGCTATATCAAAAGCTTGAAAATAAGTGTCCCTATTATCTAACAGATAATTATCTGTTTTATTAATGACATGATGACATCTAGCCCCGCCACGGTGGTCTAGTGACTAAGGTACTCGGCCGCTGACCCGCAGGTCACGGGATCAAATGCCGGCTGCGGCGGCTGCATTTTCTAGGGAGGTGAAAATGCTGTAGGCCCGTGTGCTCAAATTTGGGTGCACGTTAAAGAACCTCAGGTGGTCGAAATTTCCGGAGCCCTCCACTACGGCGTCTCTCATAATCATATGGTGGTTTTGGGACGTTAAACTTCACATATCAATAAAATCAATCAAGGATGACATCTAAGTTGGCATCTGTTGTTCTAACATGGAAGCTGTTTAGGCTTAGAGTATGGCTGGTCAAACCAGTAATGCTAAAACGGCAGTAATTTTTGCAGCTCACCAACAGACACAACAGAAGCCAAAAATAGAACAGTCCTGTCTTCATGTATACTCTCGCGTCTATGTGTTTGTATTTTGCGCTGAAAAACTGATCGCCGGTAAAATCGGTGTCGCAGACAAAAACTCGCCCTGTATGTGCCACAGAGAACGAATATGTACCAAGCAGCTACTAGCATATGACAGCCATTATAGGCCTGCGCAGCGTTTCCATTTAGGGGGGGGGGGGCGAAGATTCTTCGCAGCGTCTCTTCTCCCTGTTCTGTCAATTTATGGGGTGCCTCCGCCATTTTTAAAGGGGCCCTGAAACACTTTTTCACGTAACCATGGAATGTATTCACTGGAAGAGCTTATTGCCACACGAATTCAACGCCGCAAAAATTTTAAGAATCCGTCCAGTGCGATTGGAGTTACAAAGGCTTGTCGCATGCTGCAATTGCATTCTCTCTTCTCTCGTCCTGACGAAAGCGCTGGAAGCCAAGCAGTGAGGGATAGCGGGGTTACAGGAAAACGTCACGCGCGCTTCGCGACCTTGAGCAGTTTTTTTCTTCGAATGCGTGTATATTTCAGTGTGATCGCGCGCGCACGCGTAGACAAGTAGCGGCCTCCCGTGGCTATCTCTGTAACAAGCGAGCATGCCATGTTCAAATCAGCCAATGGCTCATAGATAGGTCGTTGACGCGTGATTTTCGGACACATAGCGTGATTTGTGAAGAGAATATAAAGCAATTTTTAGCTGACTTTGATAATTTGTTGTGAATCCCAGGCCACGTGCTGTGATATAATATTCGGCTCGCGTGTTGTTGGGAGCCTCTACTACCGATCGGCAGCGTTTTCTGACAATGCTGTAAAAGTGATGCCGGGCCCCTTTAAATAGGCAATGATAGCTATGATAGCTAGCGGCGGCTGCATTTCCGATGGAGGCGGAAATGTCGTAGGCCCGTGTGCTCAGATTTGGGTGCACGTTAAAGAACCCCAGGTGGTCAAAATTTCCGGAGTCCTCCACTACGGCGTCTCTCATAATCATATGGTGGTTTTGGGACGTTAAACCCCACAAATCAATCAATCAAGCCTATGATAGCTATGGTTCGTCATGTATGACAGGGGGGTGGAAACGAGAAGTGACGGTCACGTAGATGAAAAAATTACGGCATATTCACGGGGTGAATGATGATGAATGGGCGAAGCTCCGGAGGGATTCATCGGTAAACTGTGAATCTTCCGTGTAATTCGCCCAGTCGATCATCATGTAAAGACGTGAGAAACGCTGTGTGTGTATATACACAAATCAACTTTTATTTGTTTTTAGACGATGGATGGCTTGCGATGTCCCTTCATTATGACGGCTTTATGGTCTGTGAAATGAAGGGAGAGCGGTTCCTGTATGGGTTGCAGTGGGCAATTTTCAAATACTAGGTCTATGCATGTTCCTCGGATCGTGGTAGGTTTCATATGGTCAAACGATATACGTCTGAGTGCATATCTAGAAGCCATATGTTGGATAAGCCAATTATTGTCTTATCCATCCGGCGACTCCGAGCGCGGGCCAACAGCGAACAGATTTTATTACAACAGGAAAAGAGGTTAGGAGAAAGGGAAGCATGGTTTACCTTTGTATCTTATAGGTTATCATAGGTATGATAGAGGAAAATGAGGGCGAGCAGGAAAGAAAGCAGGACGAAAAGGAGGTGAGAGAACGCATAATAGCATAACCATATGCAGTCGTGGCCACTGTTATGCCCAAACCACACGTACACTGTTTGAGCGCGAGCAGGAGCACGTCAGCGCGTGTAACCCGGGCGTGATTCGCGAGGAATGGCGATTTTCACCCACATACTACGCGCGCTTACCACAAACAGGCGGGAATAGGCGAGTGGCGCCACGTGCATAGCTGTTTGTGAGCTTCGAAGTGATTTATATGAATATGGCCACTATTCGAAAGGCCAGGTGGTGCTCGACCGAACCATGCCGCACCACTTAGCACTGCCAGGCAAACATGAGTGCGTACACGAGCGTACTGCACATCGCAGTCAAGCGCACGGCCCGTAGTGCACCGCCGGCAGCTACGCTGAACCCGCCGCGACGTCATCGAGCGCAACGAGTGCTGCTGGTAAAAACTATTCAGCTCTACAACGCATCTCTACAAAGACTGTCACGAGAAGACACTAAAGTGCATAATGTGCATATAGGCATACGATGTGCACGACGCGTCGTACGAAATAGAGCTAAGCTGTCTCATGCAGTCATGTATTGCGACGAAACATGTATGAATAGAGCTCGTAAATGAATATATATGGCTGTGAGTGTACTTGTCCTGTATGTAGGAATGTAAAATGTGCACGAAAAGGAAAGAAAAGGTAATCTGAATTGGTTACTACACGCCGACTAGGTCAATGTCTGAGTACAGCCATGGTGTTGTTTCGTATCTGCGGGGCTCCAAGCGCGGCCAGCGCGGCTTGGCGGAATTAGACAGTGTCCAGCACGGAGGAAGGAAAGGCAGGAGAGGGCATGCCCAGCCGGCGCAGGGCGTTAAAAAAATGTGGCGGAAATTACGTCACAGCGGCCATATTCACTGGGCACAATGGCGGCGTTTTGTTATTGTTGATGTAGTGCGGTGCGGCACCGTTCAGGCGGTCCAGCGATGGTGTGCGCGTTTTCATGGGCCTCGCACCTAACCGTGACGTACTGCAGGTGTTCGACAGCATCCATTCTTTGTGCCTGTTTGTTAGCTACGCGATTTTCCTCCGGTGGTGGTTGTAACCAGGTGTCTGAACTAGAAACCACGGAACGAGCGCGCGTATACGTACTCCGAATTTGCAGCGTCCGTCAAAACTGTGTGTAGGCCACAGCCTGACTGAAAATTTTATGAAGCCTAAAAAGAAGCGCAAAAGGGGGAAAAGGGGATCTGAAAGACGCTGTACAAATTTCGGTGCCTGGTTCGTCGCACGGCATTGTCCGAAATATCATCTTTATTTTCACGAAGAACACATCAAATTATAAAAAAAAGCTTAACGTGCAACTTGCCGTGTTTATCGTAAACGCTGGCAGTGCAAGAGAACAACACCCATAAGCAGAGATTTCGTCAACCGTATCGTGACAGGAGAGCGTGTTGAAATCCGTTCCGCTGGTTTCGGGTAGCACCGGCGCACGCGGCGCGCAGGCCACGTGCTTTTTGAGACAGAGAGGGAGTCGCGCCTTCTGCTTCGCATTCATATGTAAACAAGAGAGGAGAATTTGCCCAGTCAATATAGCCGACTTCCGCCTTCATCGTGGCTTCACAACGAGTGACGTCAGGGCCTCTCCTACCTTTCCTTCCTCTGTGACGCGCGCCGTCTCAAGGGGTGAAATCAGATGGCCGCAGACACTCGCGTACGCAGAGCGTATAGACGCGCTTACGACATTTGCGCATGCGCGATCCCCTGGAGTGCGTACCGCGCGTGCTCGGGCAGCGTACGCTATGAAGGCAGGCATGGAGGATGGAGGAAGGAAACAACCCATTCCTTCCTCTGTGGGTTCGGGCTTGAGAGGGAACACGGAGCGGGCGACCGCACTCTGCGGGGCGCCATGACGGGCGCCGTGCGAACTATTGCGGCGCGAGCGCAATCACAGGCGGAGTTAGCTGCGCGTAGTTCGCGACGGAGCCTCCCACTTAACCTCAAGCGGTGAACCCTAGATTGCGCGTCTGCGAAGTGGTAGGCTCCCTAGCAGATGATGCGCGCCCAACACCGCCTCTGGGGCTATTTGTGCTTGCGCCGCCATACTTCGTGAGGCGTCTGCTGAGCAGCCACGCATGCCACGCTCCCTCTAACAGTGGTGGCGACTGTAAATATTTCAAACAGCATAGCAAAGGTTTGGAAATAGAAGTTAGGAAGAAATCGAGTTATGCGAGTGTTAGACGGAGAGGATGAAATATCAAAAAAATTTTAAAGAAAGAAAAAATAGCTGTAGAACAACATCAAGGAAGTACTCAGTCTGCGTACATCAAGTGATGTTGCTTAGTTACATACTCATTAACTTTAATTACTGAAACTCACAAAACATTCCTTCGTTTTCTTTTTTTGGAATGTAACACTGAGTGTCTTCAAATTATTCAATCCAAATTTCGCGAATTTTCGATTGTCGATCTTAATTCGTGACTGAAGGCGGAAACAGGCAGCCTGTAACGTTCCTTCGCGGTTCACGTCCACAATTTTGTACGTCGTGACTGTATACAATGCATTGCAATGAAATGCAATAAAAACATTCCAGTGCAATTGGAATGAAAAGTGAATCATGTGCACAACCGCTTGATCTATCATTTCATTTATTTATTCCAGGGTCTTTGCGTCGCACTTTTGTTCTGCTTCTTTAATGGAGAGGTTAGTAGAATTTTGTATCATTATTCCGAGACCATGCCCGTAGAGAAGGCTAAGCTAAAACACAACTTACAGCTGTACTTTCAGTGCCTGCTTAGGTCTAATTCAAATAATAAAATTTGTCTTTCGAAATGATTCAAGTTTATCGAGTCATTTTGATTGCGGGTGCCTTCAAACCGAATTAATCGCGCAGCTCAACTCCGAAACACTTCCCCGCCTACTCAGTATTTGGTGCCGGCGGATATTTGAAAAGTTCGAGAAGTTCAGAAGCCGCTCAAATAAAGCGTGATATAAATAGGCGTACATGTAAAAACAGATGTCATGTTTGGTGGACTACGCAGCCCAACACTTGTACGTGTCCTTCTTGTTGTGAGGGTTTTACAGTCTAGGTTACGCGAGTACCTCTGCCTTCTTGAAAATACGGGCAAACGTCAAAATAACAGTGGTCAGTAATACTGAAAAAAAAACAGTACAATAAATATGTTGGCAGGACTGACGAAACCTGGTGACATGCACGGCTGTATCTTTCGTTTCAGGTTTTGGGCGTCCTGCGGAAAACGTTGTCGCAGACGCCATGGTTCAGAAACAAAGCTCGTAGGATGTCGTACGCGAATACCAGCATCAGTGTAAGTCGATTTAGAAAATCTCCGCAGAAGTATAAATGCGTCAGCGTAATTTGAAGCCGCCGAGTGACGAGAACAGAGTTCTAACGGTGACTCTCTTTGTGTTCCACATGCCTCCCGAAAAGCTTCCACCTCTGTAAAAAAATGAATCGAAAAGGAAGAGCGCACGGCATTTTCAAACGTTGTCGCTTTTCTGCTCGAACGTTGGCATTCCTCCCATAAGCATCATATCGCATGGCTTCCAGCACGAAGAAGTGGAACGCCCATTGCCTCCTGCTTCTATTCTTTCACCATGGTGCTTCTAGTCCTCTCAAAACTGATATGGTAAATGTATGTACGGTGCTCACGGAAGGAAACACGTCAATTTAGCGCTGATTAATGAGCGTACTTTCATTTCCACTGTTTTCAAGTGGTAAGAAGTGGACACATATTGACTCGTGACCTCACGTAACTGATGACGTTATCATTCATGGTCGTTTTTGTAGCGACATGACGGGTCATCTCGAGCAACTACGCATACCAGTAGCTCTACACGAACATTCGAAACTCTGTTCGATTCCCTGAGCCCCGTACATTGTCTAAAGGCTGGCGTTGCCTCATTCGCTGTTTGTGCTGTGCTGTATGTGCCGTGTCAGTGGAACCATGCAGCTTAGATTTCTGTATATTCGGCTAGCAGGGTATGTACTTTTGTGTGCGTACACATTCCTTCCCCACTGGAGTGCCTTTTTCTGATGCCATTGTATCTGAGCATCCCAGCAGCACCGTGACTAGTTCATGTAAAACACATAAATGGCGATATTTTTGTATTGATTTCTCGATTTTCGCCTATTCTCTCATGGTTGTTGTGTTTGAGTGACCTATACTTACTCATAACGCTACTCCTGTGACCCTCTTCTTGCATTATATCTTTGCTCATGCATAGACTAGTGCATTGTAAAAATGGAGACATTGTACAGCTCTCTGTAAAATTTGTCTTGAAGGGGACTAGCAGCACTGTTCACATAAGTATGTGTGCTAGTTGGCTACACGTGCTGTCTTGAACATATGCGCGAAATTTTACAGACTACTCAACATACTGACTGCCCCTCTGAAATTCCGGGATATCCTGCACTCTTCACACTTACTTGAGGCGCGTATAAGACGGAGTGTCACTGACTGAACTTCGTGAGTAGGTCTTAACTAAACAGTTCCTTCGACTACTTTCGTCCTTTTCACTCCCCCCCCCCTACCAAAGCTACAACAAATTTCAGAGAAGCATTTATTTCATGAATAACATCAGTTTGAGCCGCGGAACTTGATACCAGGGTAGGGAGACTACAGACACGGACGTCGCTGTGCCCTCTTTGTCCCTCGTATTAAGTTCTACTGCTCAAACAAAGGTTAACCACGAACAAACTAGCTCCGGTTAATACCGTTTTCGTATTTTATGAATTCCGTGCAAGCTTATGCGATTGCATTCGCACACACGCCGTTGGACTCTAATACACAGTTTTTTAATTATTTTAAACGTTTATCGCAACCAATGCCACTTTCGTGAGAACATTGTTGGATATGGTTGATGAATGCACGTTATACTTTTTGTCCAAGTTGAGGAGATTACGTCTGTTTTAAAGTTCGAAACCTGTCTACACAACATTGATGAACTCTAGAAACCATTTGTACGCAACATTCATTTGTAAATTGAGTAGATGGCGGAAATGCGGCCCCACTTGACGTAACAATCCTGCGAGTCTATCGGAACACCTGTGAGTTACACATGGCGAGTATTTCACAAGGGAATAGCCGGTGAGTGTTAGACCACATTTTTTCAGTGTACTTAAATGGTCGCCCCTCAAAGCATCTTTGTGCAAGGCCCTTCGCGCTGCAAATATCAAAAAAGATATACTGACTCAGTGATAAGCAGCCCACGTTTGATTTCGCAACTGGAAAGAGTCTAATCGAATATTTTTGAAACATATCGGTGTAATGAATTTTCGAATAAAGCATCCGAACCAGCTAAATTTCACGAAATAGCTAATAGACTCTTTCCATGCTGAAAATTATTGAAAGCTAGTTACCCGGAGGTTGGTGACACTACCTGCTGATTGGGAAAGGAAGCACGTAGTTACCACTTGCCAGGTGTCAACTCAAAGCAGGGATGTCCGGCAGTGCAACGTGATCGGAATTTTTAGAGGTTGCGCCGAGAATAAGACCAATGGTGGTTATGACACCTCCAAAGGCGTGGCACTGATTACGTTTCGTAGGCTATATATCTTTCCATACTGAACACATTCAAGTAATATCTCTTTACTTGGACATAAAAACAACACTGACTTTGAATATGAGACATCTGCCCTGTTTTCCTTCCGCTGTGTTGCTGGTCCCCTTCAATAACAATCTCACAACTCAAATGTGAATGTGACTGTTTAATTTGTCGCTCACTGTTGGTGTGAAATCATTGGCGGTGTGCTAAGTGAAAACACAAAGTGCTAGAGCAATTTGTGCATTGTGATCTTTTGTGAGCGTAATAAAAAGGCCAATTGTTTGGCAGTTATATATCAGCCCGACAGAAGCCTTTCGCTTGTCGCTGTATAGCATGTCCCGCATCTTGTCTTGTGGCTGCTGCATTGCTATATAGTCTAGGGCGCCCTAACACGCATTCAGTGACGATCTCTGCTTACGACAACCTTTCCTCTTGCAGCCCCGTTATCTCTGCTTGCATCCCAATTTATCCCTACCCCGAGTACAAGCCCCTTCCCACTCAAGTGAGAAGCATTTCCTTCGCATTTTACCTGCTACATGGTACACTATTGGTGTTCTTGGAAGTGTGCTGTGAATAGCGTTGTGTGCTGATATTGTGGCTTGTCAATACAATAGTCAACTATGTGACCCCATGTGTTACCTTGGTGCTCCAGCCATTCTTATGTTAAAAATTTGACAGCGAATTTCGCACTTGAGAGCGTGTAAAATGTTTCAGCGTATGTCAGAATATTGCGCAGCATTACAGTAAAAACGGTTTCAGTGAACCCGTTCATGCATTATGAAAATTAAGTTCTCAATGTAATAGCAAGACGGTACAAAGCCTAAATTACCCAAGGCTCTTAGCGACGTGAGTTAGTGCCGAAGTTTGTTAAGCATGTCGTTTCGTGCACAATGCTCGAAACATGGCAAAATGACTGAGAAGAGAGACTGGCGCTTTTCTCTTTTCTTTTCTAGGTTTTAATAATTGCACTAGAATTACCACAATTGCTAAAGCTGCCTAATATAAGCAACGTTAATCGGTGCATATCATAGAGTAATGACCCTGCCCAACCTCAGCATGGTTTTGTGAAAAAGAATTCACACCTTGTGGTTCAGCAGTTTCTTAGGTGAACTGGATAGACCAAGTTCGTTCCCCTTTAACAGTCAAGTGATTCACTGGAGAGCTCTAGATATCAGTGTAGTACCGTACCTTAGTCTCTCTACTAATAACAGTGGAGTTCTCAGAAAAATAAGCTCTGCTTTTGCGTCATTCTAAGCTCGAGTGTGCCGTACAATCACGACTTATTTGTGGGCGTGTAGGTAACCCTCGTAATCGCGTCTTCGCATGACAAAAAATGAAAAATTGCAGATGTATGTAATTCGAACACACTAAAGATAATATCTAGTAAGCTTGGTTACATTACCAAGTATTTAAAGCTATGTGCTTTATCTAAGATCGCAAGGCTGTCTCCTCAAATGCACCCCATTCGGCACGCACTGACGAGATAGTATAACTAGACTATGCATTACATATTCTGAGGCAACTGGGAGAAGTGCTGAAATAATCGACGTAAGCAAAAATAATGCCAGTTTCTGGTGCACGTTTAACGCATGGAGATTTACAATTTATAATAGATGCTTCATCTTTACTCAAGCCAGGTGCTCACATAAAGATAAGCATACAGTCGTACTCATCTTTGTAAGTGCAATATTTAAATATTTACAACAGAAGTAAGCAAGCTTTTGTGGCTTAGAGCTTAGTTGCAAACATGGCAAGGGTCGGACAGCGAATTGAGGGGGATTTTTTTTTTGTTGGCCTCTGTTGACAAGCAAAAAAAAAGGTGAATTGATAGTAATGAATAAAATTGCAATAGAAGCGATGCTAGTCTAATACGTAAAGAGCTCCTTCAACGTCGGGATAGGACAATACAGCCAACATAGAAACATTACAGTGGAGGTATGAACTGACAAGGAGAGGGGTGTGTGCTTTGACGTCGTGCTGAGGGCCGCATCATAGTGTCCCACAGGCCGAGTATGGCCCGAGGGCTGCTGGCTGCTAACCCCTTATCTAGAAAACAATTTTACCCACAGAATTGGTTACATTAAGTGCAGCTAAACTCGTGATAACACCAGAAATACACAGTCTAGTTCTGTGTGCACCATACAGATGTAGTACTTAAACCAGCACAAAACTATTTTTCTGACGCAAGTTCCTACTTCAAGCGAATGTGGCAGAGAGTCGAAAAGTGCATACGCGTGGAGACCAAAGAACGTATCTCTGGAACTTTACTAATTATTCTTAATAAAGAGACTTTAAACTTCCAAAGATTGTGCTATAACCAGGGTATATTGTTTTCTGTACCCATTCTACGAACACATCGCTTTAGTGGGTCGGGTTTGTGAAAGTTTATGTTTTACGGGAAAAGTCACTTTTACTTACTTTGTCTGTATAATCCTGTCATTTCAGTGTGCCAAATGTGCAGATTTGCTGTGCTCTTTCGTAATAATACTGTGCACTTTTCAAGTCAATCACTGTGTATGATTTGTACAACTTGGACCAATTGGTACCTGTGTAAGAAAGCAACATCAAATAGCAGATGGTTGTGTACAGTTCAAACAGTACTGCTCAGATGCTCAGTGCTGCCAGTACTGCTCAGTAATATCAGATGTACGAGTGGAACTTCGACGAATCAGTGTAGAAACCCTAAAATAAAAATGATCTTTGGGAGTTGTCCATCAGACTTGCTTTATGTTTGATTGTTTTATCTTCCTATCATGAATGGATGTTGGATTTAGGTGCAATGTTTCTTACAGTAAAATGAAAGCGTGCCGTTCGCTGCAAACTTAGGGAACGAAAATTGCATGGCATCCACTCCAGAACGCGACGCTCAATTGAGCCGCTTATTAATATCAGTACTTAGGGCAGTTTAAAAAAATATTATTAAAAATACACAACATCTGGCACATGAACATAAAATTTTACAATGATTGTTAGTGAAACGTATGTAAAATAAATATTGATAATCCATTGTACGCCATGTAATGAAACCACGCATTAAGGTGGGATGCACTTGTGCCTAAGCAAAGAAATGTTAGGTATGCATATGAATTATTCAATATTATCCATTTTGAACTACCCATATGCTCATCAGCATTTGAATACTGCGAGATCTGTTGAAAAAAAACTAGATGCACCAACGAGTTAAAAAAATCGAAAGCATGGTTCTCTATTTCCGGACTTGTCAACATAATTTTTCTACCGACTAACTTATATTGAAATAAGCAACCACAAACCTTGAGCCCGGCTTTTAAGCTTCTGCATGTTCTGTCAGCATGGATCGAGTTACAGATAATATTGTACTCGAGAAAAAAAAAGCAAGGCTATGAAAAAAATGAACATTGGAAGATACGAATCCGTCTTGTTCCTACGCAACTCTTTTTTTTCATGTTTAATAACGAAAAAAAGCAGCTCAATTCAATGCTGTACTTCTGAGAATGTGTTCAGCAAAGCTCTGTGCTTGAATCAGTCTTATCATAGAACCACAAATAGTCATTCGTTAAAGGGCAGGGGCTGAAAAAAAATGTACACCAAGATAGCATCTTGGTGGTTATTTTTTTTTAGTTTTCAAAACTTCCTAAGTAATGTTACTGCCAGAAAACCTTAGTGTTTTTTCGAAGCTTTTTTAGCAAATATGAGGCCCAGCTTACAGAGTAGCTATTTCCTTTACAGTTTCTGCCAAGACGCCCATCTGATGGCAGAAGTCCGTCTGTGTCGCCAAATCACCTCCAGCAGACCTTGGTGTGAAAGGAGTGAAATGCAAAGCAGTCACAACGATTGAAACATTTGCGTCATTCTTAAATTTGTTCCCCTCCGACATAGAGTAGGGGCCAGGGAGCAACTCAAGAAAAGAAAATGTTGACATTTCGCTTCATGAACGTCATTCAACATTAACGCCTGCACTTGTAAGAATTTGTAAATTTCAAAGCACCACACCTCCTCAGATAATCATCCATCGTGGTGTTAGAAGATACAGTTCTACCAGGCATAGAACGAACTTAATCGAGAAACTCACGTCAATTATCATTGGCTTGAAGGAATGTTGGCAATTATTTGAACATATCGCACGCTGATATAACGTTATCATCATTACAAATTGTTTCGCGTTGATTGGCTCATTTATTCAAGATAGCGTGATTTACAGTAAGATATACCACCTCCGTCTCGCATCTGCTGTATCCAGCAGTTAACAGCATGAGAAAAGTCTCTAACGTCCACATGTGAATGTTCTGCAAGATTCTAAAGGTGGACACCACTGCTGTGCCGACTTTTGGGCTTTCGTACATTTTTGCAAAACATTCTTTTGGGAAGCTACATACAGCAATAAACACGAAATGAACTGCGTGCATACCATTCCATGGCTCTTACCAACAGTGCGATAACTTACCCTTGAGAAATCGGTGGCGCTTTAGTGTCATACACGTGTCTTCACTAAAGGCTTTGCCATCTAAGCTCTTGATTGGACAGGAGGGTATCAATAGACCACCATAGAAGGTTGCAGTGTGCCTGCACATTAAAACGTGCCTAGAAAAGCAACCACTGGCTTTCGTAGGATGTGTTATAAATCGTGTAGCTTCGATGTATTTTATGGTTCAGCCTGCATACGAAATTCCGTATTCGGCGTCCAAACCTTCTCGTCATATCTTCTAGGCGTAGTTGTTATTCATGTGGGAACACGTTCACTACAATGAGCTTGATGAAATTCAGTGCGCGCTGCACACAGGAGATCTCAAATTACATGACATAAAGTTCAAAGACACCAGCGCATTCTTCACACCGTCGCTGAGGCTTATTAATGCAATACTCTCAAGTAGCTGCATTTCTGTATTAAAAAAAAGTTTGAGATCAAGCATTTTGCAAACACTCTTTTTTTTATATTTCTTGCGTGAGGCAGTTCGCAGTTCAGTCAGAGCCGCAATATTGCGGTGTCGTCGTACGACCGGCAGAAGTCATTGACGCAGTTCTCAGCGCGCAGCACTGAAACTGTTGTGTGCGTTCACTCGCGCTTTTTTCGTGTTTTTTTTAGGTACTGTGATAAATTACGAAGTAAACGAAATGCGCAAGTGAGCCAGTTGATCGTTCATAACTAGGAGAATTATGTTAGCGCGAGTAAAGAAACAATAGGTAAGAAGAGTAGAAAGACGAGGCCTTGTTTTTGGCTCTTTTTTCGTATTGTCTTACTATTTGTAATAATATGTCGCAGAAGCGGAGTGGTTCGAAATTCCTGCCACTTGCAGGAAGCAAGTTGTCAAGTAAAAATAAAGGGGGGCTCATTTCTACCACATTAATAAATTACCAGAGTGCGTGTGACACACTGAAAAGCACCCAAAAACGTTTAGGTGAATGGAATGTGGTTTCGTGAGTCTGTTAAGTATGGAACCAAATGCGGAAGCTCTTCCAAAAACTGTCGAGTTGTACGCGTGGCCGTGGTGTAACACGAAGTTGAAATCCCTACCTCCTCTGTGTTGACGCACTGTCACAGTCATTCGTTCGAAATTACGCGTTTGTTCAAGAATAAAAGGTGAGCTTGCTCTGCGTACTCCAATAAGGTGGGTGATGTGAAGAACGTTCCATGTCTCCTCAGGTAAGGTTAAACTTGTTTTGCACGTAGACTTGCCTGAACACCAAAGGGCAAATATTGACTTTGTACACTATGAAACCACCACAAAACTGGGGAACTCGCAATATGCCCCACGTCGCTACATAATAAAGTGAGCAATTCATAACGAACTGTGCCGCTTAGCTTGATTTGTCATATCTGGTTAAAAGTAATATTGTGATGTACCAAGACAGAGCCTAAAATGAGGTTTAAAGTGACGAGGATCCGTCTTGTTGGTGTGACGTAATGCCAAGCCATTTAGTAGACAACACAGCGCTCTTGCTGTGTTTGCTGGTCTTGCCATTGTACAGTAAAGCGTACAATGTCGAGGTGTTATAAAGTGTTCATCACACTCAAGCCTAGTCAGCCAAGGCATTATCGTAGCACTTTGACGATGTGGCAGAAGAAGAAGGTCATACGCAAAAGCAGCGAAACACCGGAACTACTAAGCTACCTCAACAAGTTCAAATTCATCTGTTTTGTTGATTCTAATTATTCTGAAACTCGTGCTGTACTCACAATACGTCGAAAATAATGATTGTATTTTCGAAAGTTCCCATGCTATGATCTTCCGATTGCATGCCTCACGGCTTTGCCGTAACAATAATTTGTTCATAAGTTACTTGTACGACAGGCCGGCAACTTTCAAAAATAAGACCAAGAGCATTAGGGTTGGCAGGAACAATTTATGAGATTCGATTTTATTGTGATGATCGCTTTTTGAATAGAGACCTGGATTTTCTTGCGAGCACGTATTTTTTGTTATATACGATGCCTATAATTCTATGGTATCATTTGACACATAGTCCGATGTTGAGTTATGCTAAAGACGATTTCCAGCGCTCGTCAATGCTGTGAGCGAACTTCAACCTCCCCAACGAGCTAATAGAAACGTCAGAGCTTCGTCCGGAACCTCAAACATAGAAAGCAAACAGATGTACTTGAAGAAAATGCAATCATCGAACACATTAGGAGATTTAGGAGGAAGAATGAATTTGTTAAGATGCCTCCACATGAGAATTGTATGTGGACGGTTTGAAGAATGTTCATTAAGCTGCTTCTTGCTGAGCTAAAAAGAGCACAAGAAAAGAAATGACAAGCGATTTGCTGGTTTCTTATTAAGCGAAAAACTGCCCATGTCTTATGTCAGCCTCCAAAATGTCAACATGATTTTCCGCTTCAAAATGTACGCTGTCGTTCTTTATGAAAGGGAACACGCGAATGCGTGGCCTTCGCTCTGCGGCGGCTGCCTACAGCACCATCCACTGACAACGAAAGAAAACACGTTCGCTTTCAGCGTCATTTGTTGCCAAATAATAATAATAATAATAACCAGTTATGGGTACTAGACAAGCGCTGTTATTTTGCACTCCATCTCGGCTCACGCATGTAGTACGTAGTCCACTGCCAACATATCAAACGTTGTGCGCGACCATGGCGCGAGCTGCAGTAATCACCCGATATCGCTCACCGCGCGAGCGGTCATGGAACGTTATCTAGCAGCGCTTGCCTACCGACCATGACTCGTTATCTTGCTTGGCCATAGATTACGCCAAAAGCGAGCGTGATTTCTCAACTTGTCGGTTGAAGGTGCTGCATTAAGCCGCCACAGAGCGCAGGCCACGCGTTCGAGTGTTCCCTTTCATAAAGAACGACAGTGTACATGAATGCTTCGAAGCATAGAATGCTTTTATATGTGTTTTGTTTTCTTGTTCAAATCAAACTGTCTACAAAGTATAATGCTTCAGTTGAATGTATATGGTAACTCCCACATGGGTCTCTAAATTGGTCTACAGTATTTTCTAAATAAATAAATAAATACACCAATGGGGAGAGAGTCCCACCAACATCTACCTGTACTGACAGTGTGGCCACGTAGGTAGGAACTCGTGTTTCTATTCATTCTATTCTGGCTTACTGACACACACCGCTGCCCTTGCTTCTTAATGCTTAACGCCCGCCGCGTTGATGTAGCGTTTACGGTGCTTGTTTGCTGTTTCGTAGGTCGTGGAATCTCACACAGGCCGCGGAGGCTGGATTCCTATGAAGGCAATAAGGATAGAGGCCGGTGTGCATAGATTTAGCTGCACGTTGAAGAACCGCAAGGGGACGAATTCTCTGGATTTGGTGCTTTTTGTAGACTAATAATTGTTAATGAATGTGAAACCACAAAGATAAAATAGGTGCCTAACTTTAAGTACTTTATCCAACATAAAAACAAGATAAAAAGCTATTTATTCGGCTTCGTTCATGTCAGAAAAAATCCGAGAGAGCATTGGAGGTCTTTAAAAAAACTTGCATGCTATGAAAGGGCGGAAAGGTGATTGCGCGATCGCTGCCCACCTATTAAAACTTAATGGGGAGAATTCGAGACAGTTTAGCTTCTTTTTTGCTTCTCTTTCTACAATCGTTTTACAGTTGAAATACCTGTGAAGTGTGGCTGTTTTTCATACTAAAAAAAGTGAACATTAAGTGAATAGGTGAACATGTCCTGCGCTCATGTTCCATTGGGAACGACAAGGAAACGGCGACGTGCGAAGACTGGTGAAGTTTTAGACTCCCATGGCTGTATGATTTGCGAGGGACTGGGTGTTGGCGACTAGAAAAAGAGTGGAACCTTATCGGCAGACTGGCTGTGGTTAGCATACGCGCTATGTATGTATGTATGTATGTATGTATGTATGTATGTATGTATGTATGTATGTATGTATGTATGTATGTATGTATGTATGTATGTATGTATGTATGTATGTGTGTATGTATGTATGTATGTATGTATGTAAGTATGTATGTACGTGTGTGTGCGTGTGTATGTACGTATGTATGTATGTATATATGTACGTGTGTGTGCGTGTGTATGTACGTATGTATGTATGTATGTATGTATGTATGTATGTATGTATGTATGTATGTATGTATGTATGTATGTATGTATGTGTGTGTATGTATTTATGTATGTATGTATGTATCAGGCCCATGGGCCGTTATTTGTAGCGCACACGTTGGAAGCAAAGGCCTGGATAACACACGCTGCATTGCACATGCGCAGGACGAGTGGTAGTGATGGAAAAAAGCCGAAGGAGGCTGGCGAAAAGCATGCTAGCAGATAAGAAAGAGACGAGCCCACAGACTTTTTGGCGGGAAGGCCATGGGATGCTAAGGTGGTCGGGCGACGCGCCAGGGT